CTGTAATTCCATTCCCAGTCCCTCCCAGTCCCTCTAACTCCATTCCCAGTCCCTCTAACCCCGCTCCCAGTCCTTCCCAGCTGGTTAAACCCCTCTCCCAGTCCCCCCAGTCCCTGTAATTCCATTCCCAGTCCATTCCCAGTCCCTCCCAGTTGGTTTAACCCCATTCCCAGTCCATTCCCAGTCCCCCCCAGTCCCTCTAACCCCATTCCCAGTCCCTCCCAGTCCCTCTAACCCTGTTCCCAGTGCCCCCCAGTCCCTCTCCAGTCCCCTCCAGTCCCTCTAACGCCATTCCCAGTCCTTCTAACCCCGCTCCCAGTCCCTCCCAGTTGGTCTAACCCCTCTCCCATTCCCCCCAGTCCCTCCCAGTTCCTCCCAGTCCCTCCCAGTCCCTCTAACTCCATTCCCAGTCCCTCTAACTCCATTCCCAGTCCCCCTCAGTCCCTCTAAACCCCCTCCCGGTTCCTCCCAGTCCCTCTAATCCCACTCCCAGTCCCTCCAGTGCCCCTCAGTCCCTCTAAACTCAGTCCAAGTCCCTCTAGCCCCGTTCCCAGTCCCTCCCAGTCCCTCCAGTCCCATTCCCAGTCCCCCCCAGTTGGATTAACCCCATTCCCAGTGCCTCCCAGTCCCGTTCCCAGTCCCCCTCTGTCCCTCTAACCCCATTCCCAGTCCTTCCCAGTTGGTTTAACCCTTCTCCCAGTCCCTCCCAGTCCCCCCAGTCCCCCCATTCCCCCCAGTCCCCCCAGTCCCCCGTCACCATGTCCTCGTGCGCCGAGGTGCTCCGTTTCCAGCTGCCGGGCCACGAGGCGGCGGCTCTGCGCTCCATGACGCGCCTGCGGGCGGAGGAGCGCTTCTGCGACGTCACCATCGTGGCTCGCTCGCTGCGTTTCCGCGGCCACCGCGTCATCCTGGCCGCCTGCTCGCCCTTCCTGCGCGACCAATTCCTGCTCAACCCCGCGGCCGAGCTGAGGGTGTCACTAGCCCACAGCGCCCGCGTGCTAGCCGACCTGCTGCTGTCCTGTTACACCGGMGCGTTGGAGTTCGCCGGGCGCGATTTGGTGAATTATCTGACCGCAGCCAGTTATCTGCAGATGGAGCACGTGGTGGAGCGCTGCCGAGGGGCTCTGGCCAGGTTTATCCAGGCTCCTCCCGCGCCGCCGCCGCCCCCCAAAACCGAGGAGGATGAGGAGGATGAGGATGAGGAGGACGCGGCGCCGGATGTGTGCATTGTGAAGGTGGAGCCCGCGGCGGTGACGGCGGCGACGCAGCCCCGGAGGCGCAAAGGGACGCGGCTGTGGGCGAGCGGAGCGGCCGAAGCGGCCGCAGCGGCTCAAGGAACCGGGGCGGTGGTGGCCGCGGGGCCGGCGGTGGTGATGGCCGCGCAGGAAACGCCGTGCCCGCCGCAGCTCGGCGTGGTCAAAGCGTGTTACAGCCTGGCTGAGGAYGCTGAAGGAGAGGGGCTGCTCATTTTCCCCGGGGGAGGGGTCGGTGAGGAGCCRTCCGGCGGCGTGGGCAGCGCGGGATCGTCCGGAGCGACCGCTGGCCCGGCGCTGACCGCTCCAACCCCATCCCCGTCCTCCTCCCGCTGCGGGAAATGCGGCGAAACCTTCCAGGGCGTGGAGAAATTGGTGTTCCACATGCGCGCCCAGCACTTTGTGTTCATGTGCCCGCGCTGCGGGAAGCAGTTCAACCACAGCAGCAACCTGAACCGGCACATGAACGTGCACCGCGGTGTCAAATCGCACGGGTGTGGGGTCTGTGGAAAGAGCTTCACGCAGAAATCCACGCTGCACGACCACCTGAACCTGCACAGCGGAGCGCGGCCGTACCGCTGCTCCTACTGCGACGTGCGCTTCGCTCACAAACCGGCCATCCGCCGGCACCTCAAAGAGCAGCACGGCAAAACCACGGCGCAGAACGTTCTGGAAGCCGGCGCCGCCGAGGGAGGGGTCCTGCTGCGCTGACCCCCGCGGGGGAGGGCCCGCGGCGCCGGGCGGGGCGGCCACCGGAGCCGGGTCCTCTCCCGGAGCAGCAAAGGGGGGAAGGGGGGAGGGACTGAGAGTGACCCCCAAAAAATGGGGAGTGACCGCTGGAGGGACTGAGAGTGACCACAGAATAACGGGGAGTGACCCCCAGAAAATGGGGAGTGACCACAGAGTGACTGACCCCCAAAAAATGGGGAATGACCCTGAACTGATGGGGAGTGACCGCTGGAGGGACTGAGTGACCACAGAATAATGGGGAGTGACCCCCAAAAAATGGGGAGTGACCCCCAAAATGATGGGGAGTGACCCCGAACTGATGGGGAGTGACCACTGGAGGGACTCAGAGTGACCATAGAATATTGGGGAGTGACCCCCAAAAAATGGGGAGTGACCACTGGAGGGACTGAGAGTGACCACAGAGTGATGGGGAGTGACCCCGAACTGATGGGGAGTGACCCCAGAAAAATGGGGAGTGACCCCGAACTGATGGGGCGTGACTGCTGGAGGGACTAAATGAACCACAGGAGGGATTGAGAGTGACCACAGAATAATGGGGAGTGACCCCCAAAAAATGGGGAGTGACCGCTGGAGGGACTGAGAGTGACCCCAAAGTGATGGGGAGTGAGCACTGGAGCAGGAGAGGGAGCGATGGAGGAACTGAGTGACCCCAAAGTGACTGGGAGTGACCACTGGACACCTGAATCCTTCGTGGAGTGATGGGGAGTGACCCCAGAGTGACCAGTGGAGTGACAGAGTGACCCCAAAAAAATGGGGAGTGACCCCTGGACACCTGAAGTGGAGGGGAACGATCCCCAAATTGGGGGAAATGACCCCAAAAGGAGGGGAAATGACCCCAAAGTGATGGGGAACAGTTCCTGGACACCCAAATCCTGTTAGGGTGAAGGGGAGAGACCCCAAAATGCAGAGAAATGACCCCAAAGTGAGGGGAAATGACCCCAAAATGGGGAAAAATGACCCAAAACTGATGGGAAATGACCCCAAAATGAGGGGGAACAATCTCAGGACCCCCGAGACCCTCCCTGAAGGGGGCAATGACCCCCATGGGTGCCTGGGTGATAAATTTTGGGGGTCCCGAGTACCTGGGTGAGAAATTTTGGGGCTCCTGCGTYAAAATCCGGGCAGAAAAAACCTAAAAATGGCAAAAAAAAG